CTTATCAACGTTTTAACGTCTCTCTTAAATAGAATCTTCAAATGGCAAACCTATTATCCTCAAGTCACTACTGACGAACAACACAGCAGTGCTAGGAGGTGAAGCAAGATTCCTTTGTCAAGTGACCAGTGACTCAGTTACGTATGTCAGATGGCACTTCAAGAGACATCATGCAAAAAGCAATGCTTTTGACAATAAAACAACAACTATTATTGAGATAACCAGCATTGCACCAGTTAAAATTTTGACTTCCTTGGGCCCGAATACATTAAATGGTGACCTTTTCAAAGTGAATGCAGAGGTTTTTGTTCAGAATGTATCATTTCATGATGAAGGCGAATATATTTGTGAGGCATTCAATCAACTTGGTAGCGTGAGTTGGAGTGCATTCTTAATAGCAGTCAAAGGTACCTTTTTTTCTTATTTTTTATTTTATTTTAAGAGTATTCCTCAAAAGCAGAGAACTGCTGTCGTTGACAATGATTAACGTTTCGACAACTTAAGAAGGTCGTGACTCCGATGATGTCTCGAAACGTCCGTCACTATCACCGACAACAGTTCCTTTCAGAGCTACTGTCACTCAAGCGATCAACAGTAAATGAAACCAGTGAAACAAGTCATTGGTTATAAGGTATGACTTTTTAGAATGGGGATCTGTTGAGGGACGGATTCCAGCCTTTTTGCAAAGGTGATTGCGAAACGCTACAAGTAATAAATCTTGTGACAAGAAAGTCGATTGGCCAAAACCCAATAAGTTAAGGACTTTCTTTATGCTGACTATCAGCTGCGCGACGGACGACGCTGAGAAAAAAGAAGCGCCATTAAACGAACCAAAATTTTTGTGTTTATTCATGAAGGTCCTACCCCATCAGCTACAGATCTAGAGACCAGATATGAGGCTCTGTTTGGACGCACGCAAGAGTTTCCCTTGGCTGTTATTGTAGCTATACCAGTAGCCGTCTTAGTTATTTTGACAGCCTTGTTTATTAGAGCACTCGAGCGGGCCAAGCAAAGACATAGTGAGAGACAAGTCAAGAGGACAGATGTTAATAGAAACGTAAGCGTCACAAGTGAGCCTTGGAACCAAAAGAAAACGGCAAAACAGGTAACAATGTTTCTTTGTTAGCATCGATAAAGAAGTACGACGTGTATGTGAATGTATTGCACAACTGTTTCTCTCGAGGGATAGTCGAGTAGCTCTCAGTATCAAAACGTAGTGTTCTCCTTTTCAGGCGATAGCCGGTAAAATGTACCGCCTGTAGTACCTCTCATTATCGCCGGAATCTCTTGGAATTCTTGAAAGTTCAACTTGTAAAATGATCGCTCTACCTGTTTGCAAATTTCTCTGTCGCGCTTAAACAGGGAAAAACAAGCAACGACGGTGTGATGCTGCTAAATATTCGCCATGCGTAAAAAGCAAAGTTTCCATGTGCTATCTATTTGCGGAGCCTAAAACGTGAAGTTATTGAGGTACATGTTGGTGTCAAACAGGAATTTCCGTTGGTTCTGATCAGTTAGTTCTGAAGTTTAATTCAAGTGGATTCGAGTTCTTTTTGAAAAAGAATTTTACCTCAATCTAATACTTAACTCTTTCATAATTAACTCCCTGAAGTGATAAACATATAACTTCTCCCGATATATCCATACATAATCTGGTAAACAGGTAATGAGAATAGTCAAACTTATCGGGTGGAAGTTGTTATCTTGATCTAACGCCAAATTGTTGTAGCTGATATACATGGAAAAGTATAGTAACAAGAGTGGAGAATTAATAAGCAGATCCTATGAGTTAAAAGGTTAAAAGTCTACTTAGATAGGATATGACTGTAAGTGGGTTTACTTGTTCTTTTGGGCTTAGCTCTTAATCAGTGACTTCCCTCCATTGACTCTAGACCTTTCAGTTTATGAGATAAACCTGTAATTAATAAATGGAAAGGTATTTGTACAAAGCAATCCGAGTTGACGGGAAAAAAAAAAAGCAAATCGCAGTTTAAGCAAGTTTCAGGACACTCTCGGTAATCCTAATTTTTTTACTCATTTTTAGAAAACTGTAAAAGAAATTATCATAACTGCGCCTCGTCAAACTCCAATTTACACGCGGAAACCCAGCGAAGGTAAAACTGGTCAGCAAATTACCCAGTTACCCAAAGATATGACAAGCCTTGAGGCATGCTCGGTTCGACGACCTGTTTCCTCTCAAGTCAGTGATGTAAGCAGTGAGCGATGCAGTGATGCGCTGGAACTTGAGTGGGAAGGGATTGAATTGGTCATGGAGGAGGGTTTTGAAATGATTAAATTATGCAAAGAGGAAGAAGTGTAAACACATGTGATCCGTGTGAAAGAGAATCGACTGAGGAAAAAGAAACATTGGTCAGATATAGTAGATGGCGGCCAGTTGTTGTCTTCATCAGCAGATTTTTGTAAGTATCTGTGGTGTGCTCTGAGGATGGCGCGTTCTTTCAAAATTTGAACTATTTTGAAACCAGTACAACTTGTAAGTTTTCTTTCAGTAATTGGGGTATACCCAAATGTGACACATGTCGTGTCATGAATAGCTTAAGTATCCCAAACTCCATATCAGTTTTCCGTGGTTTTGCAAGTTTACAAGTTCCGACTGTGATACTGCGGTACAGTGCTGAAAAGAGATTGCACAAGGAGCTGATCAAGTAGAAAATAAAACTGGACAAAATGATCAATATTTGACTTAGCCCGCCAATGCAGTTGCACAGATCTTTTTTGCGTCCTGTAGAAAATGATAATTGCTTATTGTCGCCAGAACCCCATTAATTTTCCGGCTTGCGATCTTCCTCGAGCGCCCGAAAAGTAATAAATTGATAATGATAATAATGGATTTGCACATATAGATATAATCGTGTGGATCACAAATCATGAAAGAGCGAAGTTGTGATCGCCACAAGAGTGAATTAGTCTCTGAAACGCACGTGTTGTGCACACGAGTAGCCACTTGGAAAATGTCTTGAACAGTATTAAAAAACTGCTCGAACGTACAGAAGAACTTACGATCGAGATCTGACCAAACAGCAGGATCAGCCAAAGAGGTTAAAGAGCGGGTTTTGTATTACTAACTGGCTAGCGGTGTTACATCGAGTCTTCGTGCCATCTTTCTGGACACAACAGCTTGTCACTAGAAACGTTTACTGCGTGTGTTGTTGAGTTTTCAGTGTTCTCTGGTAAAACTTTACGGGTAAACAAATGTGTCACTTTTTCTGCAGCAACAGCAGAGTCCCATCACATCTTTAATTTTTATCGAATTGGACATAAGGTTGGACGTATTATTGGCTTACATAAAACCAAAATTAGTTTTCAAGTATCCACAAGTGAATCATTTGTGTAACTCTTGGAATGATTATCATATTGTAAACGATGCAGAACAAACGCTCATACTGAATCAAGTGCAGATCACTAACATTTCTAAAAGTCTTCGCATTGAGTTTAGTCTCATTCTCTCTTTGCAAAGTTATCACCAGACTATACCTGCAGTTGAGCGCAAAGAGTAGCGAAGGTCGTTCCCGTTCGTTAGACCTCTCAAAGTGCATCAAAACTCCTTCTGTCGTCCCTTTTACCTATTTGCCTCGTGAAATAAACTTCCTGGTTTGTCTAGAGTTACCTTTCTTTTCATTAGCGTATTTATTTCTCTGCTTAATAAAAGTCGAAGTAAATGACTTCGGTAAACTCTTCACACTGGATTCACTGCGCAAAAGTAGAGAGTTCCTCTGCCTCAAAGAAGACTGTTGAACAATTTCGTTATGTTTAAGAATTTGTTCATGCTTAGCTTGCGTATATCGAGTTAGAGATGCACGCGGGAAGTTTGGAGAGCACGAAAAATGCGTTAGAGTAACTCGAGGCGCACCCGAGAGCAACTTTCCTGGAAAAGGAAACTGATATCCTTTGTTGAGGTAGTAGCTGATGTCAGCGAAGGTCATCGTTAATTGAAATTCCTTTTCTTTCTCTTACGCTTGATGAAATTGTGAAGTAAGTGTGTAATATACTATTTTGTAGTTTTGTCGGTAAGTCAGCTCGAAAAGGGCCTACCAAGCATTGAAACGTATTTTGATCGCGTTTTTTGTTCGTTAGGCCGTTCACACGTATTGCAGTTGTAGTTTTAGTCATTTATTGCGCCATCTGTCAGTTTTCTCCTACAAGTCGCCGAGTATGTAATCCTTTATAAATGAAAACCTTTTCCAAGTTCGGTAGGAATTCAATCCATCAACGAGCAGTGTAAGCTGAGTCCGAGGACACTCTCTTTAATATGTAAAGTTCTTTGAACTCATTATTTTAAAAAAATGGAAAAGAAAATTGTTTATCTGCTAGTGACTCGGCAGACTCAAAATTCTTATACCAAACGAAATGCGGCTTAAACTGCTCAGACATCATAAACCGCGCGACCTGTTCATCCCTACGACCTCTGTCCTTTTAAGTCAGTGACGTAAGCAGTAAAAAACGCAGTGAGGCGCTGGAACTTATGCAGGAAGCAATTAAACTGGTTATGAAGAAGATATTTGAAAATATTAAACTGTGTAAAGAAGAGGAATGTGAGGGAGAGTTTAGTGAGGAAGACAAAAAATTAGTTATTTGTAGTAGATGGTGGCGAACTCTCGGGCTTGTTGGCAATTGTGGCCTTTGTCAGTTGTTTTGATTGTCTGAGTTAAGCGGTCAGCATCTACGAGGGTGCGTTCTCTCGTTCTCTTTTGTCTTTCTAAAGTATACTCAAGAACAGACAAATTTGTTAAGGTTTGTGTGTAATCACTTGTGTAATTATTCCGAACTACATGTGTTTCGTGGTGCTTCAAGTTCCGGTTGTGATTCACATCTAACAAATTGACCTTTATTCTCGATAAAGCATAAATTACGCATTTCTTAATTCTTTCCATCTAATCATCAAACATACTTGCTAAATTGTAAAACATAATTAAACTAAACTTCAATTGAAGTTAAAAGTTAAAGATATATCTTATAATGGCCAGCACAAGGGTTTTGAATGGCACTGCTGATTAATTGAACCAAATAGAGGTTTGCCCTGTCTTACCAAAACCTGTAGCTGTGTACCATCCACGATGTGTGTAGTGAGGGGAGCCTCCCTTCACGTCAGGCTCGTAACTAGTTGGGGTGCATCCACTACACGGACTGTGACCCGAGCCCGAATGGACACTGGGGAAAAAGGGACCCTTCTCAAAGACAGAGAAAGATCCCGTTTTGTCGTTAAACCCGTACCCAGTGGGATATGAGTCGCTCCATGTCACCCCCAGGGCCTCCCCTAAAGCATGTCTAATATAAGTTCCACTCTCGCCTTTCAACGCTTCCACAATAAAATCTTGGACATGCATGCGACCCGGTTGTCCGCCATTAAAGCGGTTATGATTCGCAAAGGTTACGGTGTAAGGATTATCCGTAATGTTGATGCGATAGACGTATGAATATTGATCAATACCGCCTGTGGCTGGGTTGTTACCTGCAGCCATGATCATAGAGCGAGCATTATTGGCCATTTTTACAGCGCCGTGGGGCAGATTGATTAGCCCATTTGAGGAGCTGTGTTGAGTGGGAAGCCAGGCATAACCATTTGGGTTATTCATATTGGATATGGCCTTATTGTTGGCATTTAATGACGTTGCGTGAACGTAACCATAACTAGCTAACATCCATGCTCCTCCAGCGAAAGTCATGTCACAGTAGGTTTGAGCCGGGGCTGTTTCACCAGGGGGCTGGATCCAATACATTCCGCTTCCGTGACTATCACCTGCGTCGAGAATTGCTTGTGCGTTTGGTGCTGGATTTTCTCTAGTTCCCAGTCTTTTTCTCACCGTGCACTGAGGTCCAGAGTAGGCCGGTGAGCACTTACAGAGGTTTTCGCCGATGCACGTACCACCGTTTTCACATGGCTTCCCTGTACATTTACCTTAAAAGGAAATTGAGATTATTTAGACTTAGCAAAGCCTTCGTCGTCAAACATAAATTAGATGGTAGATACCGTCGGACCTCGATTTTCAGCTACTCGCTGGTGTATTTGCTACAGCCCATACAGCCTGGGGTATGCGTTATTATGGCCCACGCTATTCTTTTAATCTTGTTTTATTTTTACTCAATGTCAAACAAAACTCACTTTTGTGACAAAAGGCTCCGGTGTATCCCGACGGGCATGCGCACCAATGAACTTTTGGTCCAGTGCACTTGCCTCCATTGCGGCAGTGCGCATCTCTGCAACCTACGAATTTGAGGTTTCACATATCTTTAATGTTTGATCTCTTCATTATTTCTTAATAACCATGCGCTGAGAACAAGCATGAGCTTCAAAGCTCCTGCGAACTATGCAGAATAGCGGTTATTCTTTACTTTGTCACAAGTTCCAAGATTTTGAAAGACGATGTATTGGCTTTTAGGGCTAACAAGGAAGCATATGAAGATCTCATTGATCTGAGTTTTTTTCTTTATTAGAGGCACCATAAAGATGTTTTTGTAGATCTTTCAGTTTAAATTCGTCCCGCGATTGAGAAGAAATTAGCTAATTAGGAACGTGCTGCGCGATCTCTTAGAGTGCAGTTCCGTCTTGTTATTAGATGATTGATGCAGAATTATATTCAGAGTTTTAAGACCTTTGTACCTTGACATCCTTCGCTTTTGCAGTACTTTATTAGAGAAGCCTTGAGTTCTTCACATCTCGTAACTGTGGTATTGAGGTCACAATTAATCATCTTTGGAAAACGTGTACAGCTCTCCACTTCCTTTTCGGTTTTGTCATAACAAGCAAGGCAAGATCCTGTAATTGAGTAGTAGAGGCAAAGAGAAAGGAGTGTCTTTGTGAGCGGGATGCCTGTGAAATGATTTTGGGGAACAATGCCTAGCGAAAGGAAGATTGCGAGGATTATCAAAGCATTTTGTTTAAAAAAAATACCAAAGATACTGGGGCTTTAAGTAAGTTATTTGGAAATACTGATTCAGATTGGTATAAACCTCACAAGTGGGTGGTGATCGCGCAGTCTGATTGCCCGGTTGTGGGTAGTTCTGCACTGTTCTGTTGTTGGTAGTGCTCACACAAAGGGGTAGCAAAATTTGCATTAAAACGGAATTTACTTCCGACCATGATTTCATATGACCGCATACTGTCAGAAACATTCATTATTGTAATGTTCTTTTTTGTCTGTTTGTTACTCAGCTTATATGGTATGTGCTACTCTTAATAAAATATTGACCTTGATGTCGGTGAAAGCTGTGGATATTTCCCTCTATAATCTAAATGATTGTCACAGTCCTCGAGAGACTGTTCTCAGATTTCGATAACTACTACCATTCAAAGTTACCTAGTCTCCCGGATTGCACCGGATTGCGATCTGCATGTCACGCTAAAACTTATTTTCATGTATAGCACAACTGTCAATGTTTTCAGGGTTGTGGCTTACCTTTAGCGTTGTTATCGGAGCAAATGTTTTCCAACTTTTCTTCTAAGTGATCGCAAATCTGTTTCACGTCAATAAACTGTGAATTCTTTGAATCTCTTCGGCACTTTTCTACCAACACGTTTGCTTCTTTTACGCAGACCTCGTAAGGTTTGTACTGAATTCAATGAGTAGACGAGACAAAAAGCCGTATAAAAATACAAATATACATTGTCTTTGGACTGTAATCGTACGAGATGTTAGTGAGTAATTTCAGTAATTGTTATTCTCTTGGATTTTACGAAACTCGTGAAACATGTCTCAAAGTAATACTTCAGTTTAACTGACTACAGAGGCAACTTTAGTTCACTCAGACCGGACCGGTTTCCGATTCAAAATAACTAATTCAGACCCTGTTGCATTGTTATATGAGGTGTGTTTTGGTCGAATTTACAGCAACCAATTGAGGTTTTATTTAATAGCTCGCTCGTGAAAGTAGCTTTAGTTCCTCAGAGGTCAATGATTAAGTTAGAAGTCCTTGAACAGCTAAGTCATTCATTTGTACGGGTAATATCACATGATTTCGAGTGCAATTTGGGATGAATCAGCACGAGCAAATTTTCAACGGCACACCAATATGTATTCTTTGAAAAATCTACGAGTGCTTATTTATCCACATGGGCGGCCCAAGCTCACGTCTCGAAAAAAAAAGCCAGCGATTAATTCATGAAAGCGTCACGCGTTGTGTGACTCGGTGTTAAGTTACGAGAGGAACCGTTGAGAATTTGAACACGTCATAAGGATTGATATGAGGAAAGAGATATGGTCGATTTACGACGATAAGTATTTCGAAGTATTAAAATTTTACACCAAAATCAATAGCACTTACTCACGTCCTGTGTGTCTGCTGTAGTCTTTGGCGATTTCTGCCGGTTTAAAGCTTGCTTTACCATTACAGTTATTCCTGTCAAGACGAAGTTATTGACTTCGTCTTTTGACAGGAATAGGGCAGGAACAGGGCCGCTTGTGATTGCACGAGAAAAATTCATGTGATTTCGCGACTTTCCAGCATCTCAATCAGTCAATCAATTTCATTTCAACTTTTTGCGCTCAATTTCAACTTTTTGCTCTGTGTGGTGTGGATTGAGGTGTTCTCAGCTAATGAGTGCTGAAATTTTTGCAAGCAGATTACGTTTAAAGTGAAATAAAATGGTTAATAAAACCTACCTCTGCGCAGTACTCCTTGACAGTACTGAGCGCCAACTGTGATCGGTTGTTTAGTGGAAGAACAAACTTGGCAAAACAGGGGCTCAAGGCGAGCCAGTAGCAGAAAGCTAACGCTGAAAACTTTCCCATTAGAAATTATCTCCTTCCACCTTGAACAGCTATCGTGAGTGTTGTAAAGCGAAACTCTTTGTTGTTTGGTATGCTTCTCAGCGACACCAGAACTCGATCTGTCATTTTGTCGTGCTTTTCAGTGTCGTATTTGATATACTTCCGCATACAAGTAAGACGTGACCGCCTTTCTGCCAAATTTCTAATTTTTTACTTGCTCTTCCTCATCTTTAGTCTTCTCGCCCAGCTGATTCACTTCTACATTTTTACCCGTGAATGAGACAGTATGTTCAAACTTAAAGATGAGGAAGCAGGAATATTTATGACATGGAGTCGGTTGCTTGTTTCCTCTTTCCTGTCTGTTGGTTTAATCGAACCTCTTTGTGTCAGTTTTATACGATCACGCATAAATGACTGGGATAACCTGTGTTCGCTGAAAATTCAGATTTATTATTCTCTGTCATGTGAACACATTGATAGCTCGAAACAGATAGGCGGAACAGACCACAATCGTTGTGACAGAACTGAGGTGCATACGGACAATCGGAGTGGTTTTGACGAAATCGCATGTGAATATATGAAAATATTTCTCACACAATCGGAACGCTTAAAATCTGTGCCAACATTAATCAGTTTCCCAGAATGAACCATTAAGAGAAAAGCGACGAAGGTGGACCTCCAATAACGTGAAAAAAGGCATGGATTCGGGGAATGAACCATGGATTCGTTCAGGTCATAACATTTTTTTGTTACGATTGATAAGTAAGATCTCCACACAGCTTGGCAATGAAAGGATAAAAAGTTTTAATACCTGTATGGATACTTGTAATTCTTTATAAAACAAATGTTTAAAACTAACGGTGTACCCAGTCTTTGTGAGCTATGAAAACAACGCCATCGACTAATTCAAATAAAACTTAATGCAGAGTGTTAATCCTTCACTTAAACCAAACAGATGTTTGCCCTGTCTTACCAAAACCTGTAGCTGTGTACCAGCCACGATGTGTGTAGTGAGGGGAGCCTCCCTTCACGTCAGGCTCGTAATCAGTTGGAGTGCATCCACTACACGGACCACGTCCCGAGCCCGAATGGACACTGGGGAAAAAGGGACCCTTGTTAAAGACTGAAAAATATCCCGTTTTTTCGTTAAACCCGTACCCTGTGGGATATGAGTCGCCCCATGTCACCCCCAGGGCTTCCCCTAAAGCATGTCTTACATAAGTTCCACTCTCGCCTTTCAACGCTTCAACAATAAAATCTTGGACATGCATGCGACCCGGTTGTCCACCATGAAAGCGGTTATGATTCGCAAAGGTTACGGTGTAAGGATTATCCGTAATGTTGATGCGATAGACGTATGAATATTGATCAATACCGCCTGTGGCTGGGTTGTTACCTGCAGCCATGATCATAGAACGAGCTTTATTGGCCATCTTTACAGCGCCGTGGGGCAGATTAATCAGACCATTTGAGGAGCTGCGTAGAGTGGGAAGCCAGGCATAACCATTTGGGTTATTCATATTGGGTATGGCCTTACTATTTAAGTTTACTTTCGACGCTTCACCCGAGTAAACGAAACCGTAACTAGCTAACATCCACGCTCCACCAGCGAAAGTCATGTCACAATAGGTTTGAGCCGGGGCTGTTTCACCAGGGGGCTGGATCCAATACATTCCGCTTCCGTGACTATCGCCTGCGTCGAGAATTGCTTGTGCATTTGGTGCTGGATTTTCTCTAGTTCCCAGTCTTTTTCTCACTGTGCATTGAGGGCCAGAGTAGGCCGGTGAGCACTTACAGAGGTTTTCGCCAACGCACGTGCCACCATTTTTACATGGCTTGCTTGCGCATTTACCTGTAGAGAAATTTTAACGACAGGTTTTGTCGAACAAAATCATGGTACATGTACTTTGGTTGGTACTATTACTAACTAAAAGTCCTAAATAAGCAATTTTGGAGAGGTAGCTTCCAAGTGATTGGGGAAAGATCCAATCTATCGGTCATTTGACTCACAAAGAATGACTCAAACTTTTTCGAGATTATCGAGCAAATGATGTCTTTAAATCTGATAATATAATATAGAAAAGGAGCAGAAAATTTGGCTGAACTTGCGTAAAGGGGTAAGTTTCTCAAGAAACTGTGATGATGCGTCGGTGGGAGAGTATAACAGGGTATTTTAGTGTTATCAACTGAGTTGATTACGTAAATTAGCCACCGTAAAAAGTTTTAAAAGCTAACTCGAGCGTTGGTCCCTCGTCAGAGCGATTGGAGGAGTTATGGGTTGTGTGTATGTTTACATGCAGAAAATGGAGCTACGCTGATGGTGGGAACATGTTGACGAGAAAACAAGAATAACTTAATAGAATGAAAAGCGCTCGTTGATACCGTGAGGATTAAGAGTGCCAATTTGAAGGATATAATCGTTTTGCGGCTTTCCGAACTGCTTTTAGATGTAGAGAAATGCTGCAAACTGTTATGTGCTGCTTACAATTATTTGGGAAATTGAAGTGTCTAGCGACTGGTTTGGATTCCTTTCTACGTCGCGAAGGTGTTCTCGGAATGGATCTCCTCGTCGTCTTCCTGTTTTCACCAATGTATAACTTTTTGCAACAAGTGCAAGTTATGCAGTAGATGACTTTGGCGGAGGTGCACGTGAAGTGGTCAGTGATCTTATGGATCTCTTGGGTCCCGACATTTTCTCTACGTTGTGAACGAAAGGACAAGTTCTTTATGGGCCCCCCCTCCACTGATATCTCTTTTATCTTGAAGTTATTGCCGTCATTGGTAAAATGAGTACATAATTCTCAAAACGTTTCATAATCAAAAGAATTTTGAATGACACTAAGTTACACTTACTTTTTTGACAGAAAGCTCCACTGTATCCTGCTGGGCATTGGCACCAAGGTGAACCGAGTCCAGCACAATTGCCTCCGTTGCGACAGTACTGATCTTTGCACACTATATGTAAAACCAAGCATATCTCATGTAAGTTCTTACAATATTAGCTCTTGATTTTGATTGTTGACTATTGATATACCCTGTATGTGGAACAGTTGACCCCTGCATTTAGTCATTTATTTTCTACAGAAAATCCGGGATGCCTTTACTAAATCTTTCCCGTTATATTACGGGTGATTGTTAGCAGGTTTTTCAACGTATTTCAAACATGATATAAAGCTGAATTAAAAGAACATGCGCATGATAGTATTTTTATTAAGTGAAGAAAAAGATTGGACCAATCAATATAAATCTGATGATCATTAGTCAGTTACGTGACACTAATTTGCTTTTTATAAACATGTCTGGCCAAATTAAATCTATTCTAAGAAATTCAAGGATCAGATCTCCTAGAATTAATAACACTGCATGACTAGTACTCCTGTTCACTGAAAAAAAAATAGCTTTGGGTAGTTTTTTTCTGTTTTGACATGTCATGCTGTCTCTCACTTCAGCTATTGATGCAGCTACTAAGTAAAAGTAGTTTTGTTTCACTGACCTGGACATTCCTTACTGCTGCAGTACTTGCTGAGTGAAGCCTTTGCTTCCTCACATTCTTTGACCTTGAGGTCACAGTTAACCTTCTTGGAAAACAATTTGCAGTTTTCCACCACTCTTTCCATTTTTTCGAAGCAATTTACGCACGATGCTTCAAATGATAAATGAAAAAACAGTTTCATTAGACCATGTGATATCTAAACGGATCAATTATTTACAAACTGACAACAAATGCAAAACATAATGAACCTCTCCTACAAGTTCTTATAATCAAATATGAGAAAAATACGATCGGTTGGGTACTTTTTGACAACCTAGTCTCCTGGATTGCAAGAGTTTGTATACAACAATTTTCAT